CCCCAAAACCCCAAAACCCCAAAACCCCTTGAGAAACTTATAAATAGTACGAATAATTAATATTTTACAAATGGAGGATAATCATGAAATGCCGGACATCAAGGCATATAGGAACATCTTCTATGGATTTGATGAAGATGACGCCTTACACCATCTTAAAAAGGAGTACGAGGATCCCAATGATCCAAAACAGAAGATCAAGATTCCAAAGTACAAAAACAACAAGATCAGCACCTCTAAATACAACATCGTTGATTTCCTCCCTAAAGCTATTCTCATACAATTCCTACGAATTTATAACTTCTACTTTCTCTGAACCATAGTTCTGCAAGGAGTCCCAGCAGTCAGCACTATGCCTGTCTACCTGGCTGCCTTGCCATTCATATTCGTGATTGGTGTATCAGTTTTTAGAGAGTTCATCGAGGAAATTAAAAGAAGAAAACAAGACAGAGCAGTCAATAACTCTAAAGCTAGGGTCCTTAGAGGAAATAAATTCCATGAATGCAAATGGAGAGACCTCCAAGTCGGAGATATTATATTCGTGCATGAAGACGAAACCTTCCCCGCAGATTTATTGCTCCTTGCATGATCAGATCACTATGGAACGGCATATATTCAGACAATGACACTTGATGGAGAACGGGCTCTTAAGCCAAGACAAGCTTACACTGAGTTCCTTGAGAAAATGAAGAAGCGTGGGGTCGGACTTGATAAGCTCATGATGCATCTAAAGTGCGAAAATCCTAATACTAAAATTTATCAATTCGAAGGCCAACTTACTTGTGAGAATCCTAAAATTCCGTTGATGAAGACCACTTTAGATCAATTTTTGCTGAGAGGAGCTGTGTTGTCAAACACTGATTGGATTATTGGAATGGTAGTATATGCTGGCCATGATACCAAATTGTTGAAGAACCTTGGAAAGAATAAATATAAACAAACCCATATCGAAAAGAGACTAAACAAAGTTGTTATTTTCTTGATCCTCTTTCAGACCGCTTTATGATTAATGATTTCATTTCTTGCTGCAAACTATAACCAGAGAAATGGAATAACTACTAACAGTGAAGATGAAGCAGAGGGATCAATTTACCTCTTCAAAGACCCATCAAGCTCAAACACTAACGTACTTTTGGATGCACTTTTAGGATTTTTAAAATTCTTCCTTTTACTGAGCTCAATCCTTCCAATCAGTTTACTGGTATCCTTAGAAGTCATTAAAGTGCTACAAAGTATGTTTATCTTTGGTGATCCAAAGATGTTCAGTGTCTCCATTAATCAATCCTGCAAGGTCATGTCTGTCTCGTTAAACGAAGAACTCGGCTGCATCAACAATATTTTCACTGACAAAACAGGTACACTAACTTCAAATGAAATGATTTTTAAAGCTTGATGCATTGGAAAAGTTAAATATGACAAGAAGTCGATTGAGCATTACCAAATTGAAACTCCAAGTGTAGAAAGCAATAGTGTGAATGACAAAAACTCTGCTAATGATGATTTCAATCCAGACTTTGACAATAGCGACGATAACGGCGAGAATGTACTAAGATGTATGAAGAAAATTATCACTCTGAATTATAATGATGAAGAAGTTACCAATGAATACAGGTTTGGTAATATTAGAATCACCAAACAGACTGACTTTTTACACTACTTTTGGACTGCGCTTTCTCTTTGTCATGAGGTTATCTCAATCTCTAAAGATAAACAGAAGTTAAATAAAGAGCACTTTGATGACCTCTTCCTAGCAGATGATGAAGTAGAAGATGCTTCAAAAAGCCACTCAAAGATAATCAAGAAGAGAACCTTTGACAATAAGCCTAAGAAAACATGTACTGTCACTGAAGATAAGCCCAATGATGACTTCAAAGTTGGCGTGAATAATAAATTCTTTAAAGATTCTCAAGGCTCTGATTCCCTTAGGGAAGAAATGAAGGTAGAAGAAATTGAAGAAGACAAACACATCGAAAATGATGACTTCAGTATTTCAGAGAGAAACATTGATGCCGATGAAGAGCTTATCTACCACGGAATGTCTCCAGATGAGATCACTCTAGTTGACGCTGCCAAGCGAGTGGGCTATGAGTTCAGATACAGGTCCAACAACGAAATAGAAATCAAGATCGGAGGCCAGAGAAGAGTGTTCAGACTACTTGAGATGTTCAAATTCACATCAGAAAGAAAGAGAATGACTGTTGTTGTCCAAGATCCTGAGGACCCTGAGTTCGTGATTGTGTTCACAAAGGGAGCAGACAACATCATGAAAGGTCTCAGTGCCAATCAATATGAAGCACATTTTGATTTCTCCGCCATTGGAAAATTCGCAAATAAAGGATACAGAACACTTTTAATAGGAATGAAGGTTATCAAATACGATGAATTCTTAATATGGAAAGATGCTTATGATATCAGAAACAATGACATTGAGAATGATCATGAAGAAGAGCTCAATGAACTCATCCATTCAATCGAAAATGAGCTTTTTCTTCTTGGTACAACTGCTTTAGAAGACAAATTGCAGGAGGATGTTCATGAGTGTATTGAAGAATTTAGAAGAGCAGATATCAAAGTTTGGATGATTACTGGAGATAAACTTGAAACGGCAGAAAATGTCGGAATTTCTTGAAGATTATTACATGAAGATGCTAGAAGATTTCACTTTGTTTCAAAGGAAATGAAGCAAGCCAAACAAATTGCAAAGAGCACCTATCGAGAAATGAAAAGACTCATCAAACAGAATAATGATGCAAGGGAAATACCATTACCTGCTGAAGAGTCAGAAGATTCTGAAGATTTAGAAAGAGGAGAATCTGAGAACCAACTTGAAGTTGCCGAAGAGGATAATAAGGTTTGAGAATCTTCTGGCAAAAATATGAACACAAGTTTCCACACTCATCATTATTCTGGAAATACAAACAGAATGAATGCAAATAAGTTGACAATTCATGATGAGAATGCTTCATCAAATGATCTGTTTGCTCCTGATAAGCAATTGAAGATTACCGAAAAGAAACTATTTGTAAAGCAAATTATCTTGAAGAGTTCTCTTGGAACCTCCTTCAATGTCAACAAGATTGCTACTGCTCCAGTTGCAGATATTAACTTTGAAATAGTCATTGAAGGTGACTGCCTCGCTCTGATGTTTCATGAAGAAAATAGAAAACTCTTCGGAAAAATCATCAAAAAGGCAAATGTGGTTCTTGTCTGTAGATCTTCGCCCAAGCAAAAAGCTGAAGTTGTCGAGTTTGCCAAAGAAGTCAACCCCAAGATGGTTTCCCTGGCAATCGGAGATGGTGGAAATGATGTCAGCATGATCAAAGAGGCCGATGTAGGAATAGGAATATTCGGAAAAGAAGGATACCAAGCTGTCTCTGCATCAGACTATGCTATTGGAGAGTTCCAATTCTTAAGAAGACTCATGTTCATCCACGGAAGATTTAACACAAGAAGGATGACTATGTTCATTACCCAGTTCTTATTGAAGAATTTAATCTTCAGTATCTCCCAGCTTTCATTTGCTTTCTTCAGTGCATATTCTGGCCAAACATTTTTTGAGGCTGGATACACATCGATCTTTAATACCTTTGCTACCCAGTTAATGGTTTGTGCATGTGCAGTTGCTGATATTGATATTAATCCAAACCTAAAGGACAAGACTACAAAGCTATTACTTCCTTACCTCTATGCAGAAACTAGAGATCATCTATCTTTCAACATCACAAATTTTGTGACTTGGTATTTCTATGGATTAGGAGTTGGAGCCATGAACTTCTTTGTATCCTATTACTCATATCTTAACGCAGTTGAAGTAGGAGGTAAATCATTCGGACTTTGGCAGTTCAGCTTCACGACTTACATTGCAGTAGTCGCAACACACCTTGGCTTCATTGCCATCTATATAGGAGCTTGGAATTGGATTGTTGTATTTGTATTTGCTCTTCATATTGTAATATTTTACCCAGGGTGGGCCTTCGCCTACAATGAGTTGCCAGGAACACATATAACTGGAAATCAGTTAGAGTTCTACAACCACTTAAATTTCTGGTTGATCGTTTTCGTTATTGCAGTGTGTGCTATTCTACCAATAGCCTTCATTAAACAAGGGAAATCAATGTTTTTCCCAAGGCTGATTGACTTAATCATGAGAAAGAAGATTCATAAAGAAATTGATATTGAGAATAAACTTAAGATTGACATAGTCAAGCTTGAAAAGGAGCTTGACTCAGAGAATGACGATGACCAATCAGTCAGGATGTCCCAAGGTTTAGCTAACCAGGTCCGGACTTCTCATCATGGAACTATTGAGAATATTAATAAAGGAGGACTTAGCAGCGCCCAAAGTGAAATTGATTCTATAAATGACAGTAAATTTGGAGATGATGATTTTGGATCTGCAGCTGGAGCAAGTGGCATGAATCGAAGCCATCATCATGTTAAATCCACTAGTTCTTTAGCTAAATCTCAAAGTGTTAATTCTACAAAGAAATATAGGCTTGCTCAAAGTGTAAGAAAAGATCATGCTAATGCTTCTCCGACTTTCCAAAAATTTAGCGGGAATATGCTTGAGCTGAGAGCAAATGCAAGTAGGAATTCAGATACCTCCTCCCAATCGAGGAAGAAGATGAGAAAATCTAATAGAGGAGCATTTGGTAACAGGAAAAAGACAGATCACCAATTCCATCCCCAGCTTTCATCAGTTGGAGGCCACACAATACAAGAAAAATCTGACGAAGAAGATAAGGAAGAATCTTCTCTCAACTCAAGAATAAATGAAAACCAAGATAATGAGTCTTGTTCCGAAGATAACTCCTCTGAAGGGAGGGAAGAGAGCTCGAGTGAAAAGCCCTCACAATCCGATGTTGACAATAAATACTCCATAGAAGCTAGTAGTATAACAGAACCAGGAGTTTTTGGAAGGAAGAATCACAGGAGTCAAATCCTTGACAATATGGGTTCTCAATTCCAAAACAGGAAGTCTCTCGAGGTCAGCGATCTTGACGATGAGTCTCCATAATTCAAATTCCAATATTATACAACTTAATCAATTCGAACTGTGTCTTTTGGGGTTTTGGGGTTTTGGGGTTTTGGGGTTTTGGGG